TGTCTAATGCTCCTGTGATGTGCTGTGTTGGCTAGTGCTCCAGAAGCTGCTCTCAAAGCCCTGGTAGTCACCAAACCCTCCTACTTCATAACAGTGAACAGCTCAGTTTATTCTGTCCCTTTGGTCAGTGGAGGTTTTTCCATTGACTTCCTAAAGAGTGAGCTTGGGCTGGTGGGCTCTGTTCTGTATGTTCACCTTCTTGTTTGGGAATTTTGAAGCTGACCCCTGAAAAGAAGTCCAAGTCTGGGAATATTCTGGATCTCTTCAGGAAGCGGCATCTGAGAAAAGTCACTTTAATTATGTCAAGTGCTTGGTAAGTTGTCCAGATCTTACTACATTTTATATCAACTATTTAAAAAAAAAAAAAAGCAGCAGGGATTGTGCATCTGTGCTTATACCCCCATAGTGGCTGGCACGGTTTAATCAGGGATGATCCTGCCTTGAGCAAGGGGCTGGATTAGATGACTTTATGAGGTGTCTTCCAGCCCTACTTTCCTATGGTTAATATCTGGGTTGTCCTTTCTTCCTAAGAATATGGTGAGCAAATGTACTACACTGGGAGATTAAAGAATGTGTCTTTTAAAAGGAATAGACAGGAAGGTTGGCAGTACGGTTTTTGCACTGGATGGGGGCTAAACAACTGAGGTTTGGTTTCCAACTCTGCCAAAAACTCTCTATGTTACATTTACCCAAGTCACTTCGGGTATGTCCATATGCTCTTTAGAGGTATCTGAGCTGGGTTGGGTAGTGGACACAGTATCACCGTGTCAGGACTCCGCCTGCTCCTAAGTGAGGTGGATTACCTGAGCAATGCTCCAGCCTGGTTAGAGGTAGCTTAATGATGCCTGCGGGGCGCTACATTGTGCTGTGGAAACAGTCTTCATTCCTCTCTGCCTTAGTTTCCCATCTATGAAGTGGGGAGAGTAACTGTCTCTTACAGGTGCCTTGAGGAGTATTACGGTCAGGCTGATCTGGTGGTGATTCAGACAGTTAACTGTTGAACCAACAGCACCAGCTCCGGCACTGCCTGATTTCTCTTAGCAGCCTCCCTCGAGCCCTTTCCTGACTGTTTTTAACCCTCCTCATCTCTCTGATCCCAGCCTGACGGCTAATTAACAGTGGCTAATTAATTGCTGCTACAGATGTGGTTAGGGATTGCTTCTCCTCCCCATGGAACAAGCTAACAACCCTCCTGGAGATAAACCTGCTGTGCTCTGTTTGGCTTGCAGGTTTGTGAACAGCCTTGTGTACTATGGACTGAGCCTCAACATAGGGAATTTTGGCCTGGACATCTACCTGACGCAGCTCGTGTTTGGGGCTGTCGAGATACCAGCTCGCTTCAGCTGCATCTACCTGATGCAGTGGTTTGGGAGGAAGAAATCCCAGAGCGGCTGCCTGCTGCTGGGTGGGATTATGTGCTTGATCATCACTGGCATCCCGAAAGGTACAGGGCCTTCCTCATTACCTCCCACCCTGCCTACCTGTTATATGCCATGCTCTGCCCCAGGCACTTGGCTTTACGCTCCAGCTCTTTTCCATCCATAGCTGAGCTGAATGGGGACTTCCCTCAGCCCCTTACTCCAGATGTCTGCGGCCTGTTCTGGGGACAAATGGACAAGTGGTTTCATTCCAGACAGACTGAATTTCCTTAGTGCTACTTTCTTCTTAATTATATTCCTGGCCCTTTAAAATCCATCTGGCCTTCCGAAGGGCTCCCCTGAACAGCCCTGCCTTCCTTGGCTGCTTTCTTGCCTGGCTAAAGGGGTGTTTTAGAGGGCCAGCCTCCTCTTCTTTTTTGTGCGTTTCCCTTTTGTTTTTAATCTCTGTCTTCACTGTCTCTGCTGCCTCCTTTCTGAGGTGCTGGCAGGGGGTCAGTATCCTGTAGAAAATCTAGGTGAAGAGATTAAAAAAAAATGCTTCTTAAATATATTTCTACACCAGCAGGTTTCCAAAGACGGAGACACGTAGGTGCGACTCGTGTTTGTTTCATCTAGACTTGCACCCTAGGGCTAAGTACAGACAGTCAAAAAACCTGAGGCTTAATTGATTCAGTCTTTGCAGGTTAGTCTAAACTACAGATTAAATTGAGAAAAAGCTGGACCTCCATTTACTTTTGATTCGGGGAGTGCAGCCACATGCCTGCAGTGGCTCAGGCCAGAAGCCGGAGGGCACTAGAACACACCTCTCTGACACACAGCCAGCATGGGCTGTATGTTTGCTTCCTCTTTCTGCTGCCCCCAAGGTCCCTGGGATTTGCAGTCCAGAATCACAACAGCAGGACTCTCCAGGGTTGCTCATCATTTCCTCTTCCTGCTTCCAGGTACCTCTGGGATTTGTAGCCCACAGTTGCAGCCAGCAGTAAGTTTTAGTAAGTTTAGCAGCAGGGCAGCTTTGTACTCGGGGGAAGCTGGGTTTAACCCCCACTCCCTCACCCCAGACCCCAGCTGGGGTTTTACTGGGGGGCAGTCCCTGCCCTACCACCAACCCTTTTCTGCTGGAATAGACAGCACAGCCCAGCCCAAGGCTGGAAAGCATGCTGGGATGCCGGGGGACTCTGCTTTAACTTGAACCAGGAAGGGGTCTGGGACAGAAGCTTCATAAACTGGTTTGACCCAAATGAGTTAAGTCGGATACTACATTTAACCAACTTTATCTTAAACCAGTTTCAGCCATTTAAAACTGGTTTATCTGCACTGAGCTTCTGTTCTGTTACAGGTTTAAGCAAGTTTCTTATGACTTAAACCACTTTGTGTAACTTCTGTCCCTAGTCTGTAGGAGCAGTCACAAAGACTTGCCTGTTGGACCCTGGCTAGGTAGATGAGATGAGAAGAGGGGGTCAGCTTGAAGAGCCATTGGATCCATCCCATGAAGCTGGGGGGCTTTGGCTGTGTTTGGCAGCTGGGAGCTTCACCTACGTCATGGTCAGGTGGCAGGGAGAAGTGTGGCAGCAATAGCACTGAGTCCCACTGCTGGCCAAAGTCAGACTCGAACAGAGTTGTTCTAGCCTGCCACCTGAAAACATTGCCTACTAGCAGAGTCAAACATCTGAAAAGCCCTGTATTAATTAAGCAAAGGGGGCATTGTGAACTGGACTATCAGAGTCACCTCTGGCAGTGTTGTACCCAGCTTACACTGCAAGTCCATTGGAGCAAGTGGCTTAGCTGTCATTTACCTCCTGCAAAACTCTGTCATAAGCCTTATGAGCTCATTTCAGCTCCATTGCAACACCACCGAAGTCATCTGCTGGTGTAACTCCCTGGACTTCCTCTGGGCAAGTCACTCTTTGGGTATAACTGATCATAACTGATCTTGAGCAAATCCTGCAGGGGACAGCACTGATTGATCAGCTAATAAAGGTTGGTCTTTAATTGGAAGTGGGGTAGAACTGTGCTGGAAACTGTGGAGCTTCCCCAAGTCTGGTTTTACTGACAGGTCACTGTGTAAAATAGATGCTTTCTTACTCGAGGGATGTGCTCCCTGCCTGCTTTCCAAGTTGTGTCTGCTGCCTTCACTGTCAGCAATAAGATTTCTCTCCTGGTAGCTCTCCTGACCCATGGCAGCTGGAGGGCCAGAAGCAGGACTCTAATGCAGCTCATGCATCATCAGCAGACTTGCAGGCTTTCCATCAGATTAAGCCCTTCATTGCACAGGGGTCACCAAGGGCATCGTTTGGTGTGCAGAACCTTCAATCACTGGTTATAATGGTTAACACAATAGCACCCAGCTTGGCAGACAGAAACCAAAGGGACAGTGTAGTGCTGGCTATTAGGGGGAAAGGCCTTTGTGCTGGGAATGTGTTTGATCTCAAAATTAATGAAGCAGGAAGAACATGAAGTTTTGAGAGATTACTTCTACAGGGTGGCTTTCCAGGGAAGAACTGCCCTCTGAAAGGGGTCAAGGTGATGCCCATGGGAGGTGAGGCTTTTGTGGAGCTCCTGGTGCACACTTATCGGGCTCTGATAAATAACTTTACTGTCTGGGTAATAAGACTCCTGTTTCCATACACTTCTTAGAACACCATCTCTTTCTGCCCCCAGATTTGCCGGTGGTGACCACGTCGCTGGCTGTCATTGGGAAGTTTTCCATTGCAGCCTCTTTTTCTGTCTCTTATGTGTATTCTGCGGAGCTGTTTCCCACTGTGGTCAGGTGAGACAAAACTGGATCTTTTGATTTTGCTCTGGTGCCCTCACTTTCATAGATTCATAGATTTGGGTCTAGATGACCCCAGCTAGATGCCTATCTAACCTCCTCTTGAAGACCCCCAGGGTAGGGGAGAGCACCACCTCCCTTGGGAGCCCGTTCCAGACCTTGGCCACTCGAACTGTGAAGAAGTTCTTCCTAATGTCCAGTCTGAATCTGCTCTCTGCTAGCTTGTGGCCATTCTTTCTTGTAACCCCCGGGGGCACCTTGGTGAATAAAAACTCACCAATTCCCTTCTGTGCCCCCGTGATGAACTTATAGGCAGCCACAAGGTCGCCTCTCAACCTTCTCTTGCGGAGGCTGAAGAGGTCCAGGT